TTGCTTGTGCCACAAACCTGAAACCCATAGAACAACTGTACGAGAGAGCAATCAAGGTGTTTGACAGAAAGCCAAATTCCTACCACCACTGTGCCATCCTTGAGAAACACAATTTCTTGAGTTTTGACAATTTTAAGTCTTTTAAAAGTATGTGTTTTTTTTATAAATGTTTACATGGACTGCCCCCCCCCCCTTAGGGGAATTCACACTGGACCCTGCACTAGGTCAGAAACCAGAGGAGACTGTGAAGTCCATCGCAGACGGACCACTTTTGGACAAAATTACCTTTCCATTAAAGGCAGCTCGTTGTGGAACAGCCTCCCAACTGAGATACGGGATCGTCCCACTCTCAATAGTTTTAAAGGTCAACTCAAAGAATGGTTGAGAAACAAACAGATGTGCAATCACCGCTAAATGCACTTTAACACAGGGGTATCTCCTCCTGCACTTTATATATCATAGCTGCTACATTGTACTGCCATGTGGTAAATGCTTGTATGCTGCTCATGCTCTTTCTGTATATCATGTATTTCTGTTTGCCATGTATATAAATGCTATGTTCATAAATGTATGCGACGGGACTACGGATGGAAATGACCTCAAAGCTAAAATCCGGCTCATTTACATTTCAAAGCATTATTTTTGTTTAAAATGTTCATTAATGTGCATTGTCCCGGTTCAAATAAACGATTAAATGAAATGTAGAATTACTCGTGCACTATATTGAGATACAGAGGCGCCAGAGGTCTGCTACTGAGATCAGGCTACTCCCACGACAACGACCCCGCCACCAACTTGTGTTGCGTTTTCATCTGGACAAAGGTTTTATGTTAAGAAAGAAAAACACTTTTTTACCCATACGTATTGAAAGTGTACATGCTACGATGGCTAATGAAGCCCCCAACCCAGACATATCTCTATCTAAGATGACATACACACAAAGAGGATATATTACAGTGATGTCGGGTATCAGACATAGTACTCCCTGTCTCTATATTGCTAATAGTAAAACCCTAAATCCTCTGGGATCCATGTGTGTGAAGTGCACTTTAATCTGTACCACGTTCAACAGCAGCTGGCAGATGGCATAGGAGGGGGAAAAGAGGAGGATGAGGCACGGCAGAAGGACAAGGAGGGACATGTCTTTGGTTAGGTATCAGATAGGGCCTGACAGAGAGAGATAAATAGGGCAGTGATCTGAATAATAAAGGCCCTCTGAGAGTGAGAAGCCCAGTTTTGATATTCATTTAATATGACTAGGCTATCAGGGTACACATCAGTTACTACAGGCCTGACCCTGAGTAAGGTCAACGGGCTGAGAAAGGACAACCGAACGCAATCCCGCTCGATGCTTCAGGAATAATAAGCTCGTTCCAGAAAAGGTCACCAATGGAAACTGTCTGACTTGGAGAAAGAAAAAAGACTGCCGCTTGTTTGTACATAAAAGCTTAAAAGCATTTCTCATTATTGCTGCAGGATACGTTTCACTGAAGATGCTTTCATCATTTATTTATCAGACCTTAATGATCACAAGAATCCATAAATGTGTGGGAGTGTACATGAGACATCAAAAAATATCTCCTTACGGTTTCTTAACTCAACTCTTTAGTTCATGGGTGATGAATATTTAAAATACTGTAGACTCATTTAACAATCTTGACTGGGTTTCAAACCATTATTGTTGTTTTTCACTGAGATTATTAGAATTATCTGGCCTCCTATTTTCTTTGCTTAAAGATGTGACTTAAATATATTTTTTTACTATAATATATGTCTGTTTAGTCAATTGAGTTATTATCTTTCGCCGAATAAGGTTACACAACGGTGACTGAGTCGTTAGATCACTGATAAAACACCATGAATTTGCAGTATTACAACTGGCTATCTGTGGGGATATTTTGGAAGTGAAGTGCTCTCTGGGAGAACAAATCAACCGATGCTTTGATAACTTGAAGTTAAAATGGTGATACTTTTAAAGAAATTTAAAAAGTGCTAAAAACGTGAATAATGTATCCTTTTGAATTTGTATCCTTGTTTTCACGGGAATGGATGTCTTGTAACAGTGAACTAATGATAAGCTTGCTGTAAATTACTGCAGCTTCTCTCTAATCAACACATTTCATATTGCATTCTGTCACAAGGTTACTAGGTGATTATCAGATTATATCCATCCATCCATCCATCTTCTCCCGCTTATCCGTGGTCGGGTCGCGGGGGTAGCAGTTCCAGCAGAGAGCCCCAAACTTTCTTTTCCCTGGCGACATCAACCAGCTCTGACTGGGGGATCCCAAGGCGCTCCCAGGCCAGCGAAGAGATATAATCCCTCCACCTGGTCCTAGGTCTACCCCTTGGTCTCTTCCCAGCTGGACGTGCCTGGAACACCTCCCTAGGGAGGCGCCCAGGTGGCATCCTAACTAGGTGCCCGAACCACCTTCAACTGGCTCCTTTCGACGCGAAGGAGGAGCGGCTCAACTCCGAGTCCCTCCCTGATGACCGAACTTCTCACCTTATCCCTAAGGGAGACACCAGCTACCCTGCGGAGAAAACCCATCTCGGCCGCTTGTATCTGTGTCAGATTATATGCGCAGATATATTGCATTAATGCACACGATGTGGACAATATCTGCTTTGCTTACTGCACATATTTTATTGCATTCTATTTCAATGTAAATACTGCTTTATTTTATTTTCTATTTTACTATCAATTTTTTTGTAATGTCATTATAGTGTTCTTAAAATAGTTCGCTATCTGTGTTTTTTAAATTTTTGTTTTACAGCATCACGACGAAGTTAAATTCCCCGTACGTGTCAACCTACCTGGTAATAAACCTGATTCTGGTTCTGATTCTGATGTATTTTCAGAAATGCAGGACTCTGAAATTGAGTGCACACACACAGAGAGAGAGAAACCACAGAGGGCAAAGGTTAATGTGGACCCTGTAATCTGAGCACGGACCACAAACTGCTGGGGAGGGACCATGGAGGGACGCAGCGGGGATGAGGCGGGCTCTCAGGGTGGCTAATGTCCCTCTAATGCCCAGAGACTGGATGGCAATGGTTGGGTGACTCAAAGGGGGGGGGGGGGGGGGGGGGGTCACAGATGGCCCTGGCAGCGTGGCAGTGAAACTTAGGCCTGTAGAGCTGCACTTCCATCTGTCAGGCTGAAGTGAAAGCTGAGGGTTTTTCTAGTCCATTAATTTGCTGATCTTATACTGACTGACAACACTCGCATGTTGGCATACTAGCAAGGACTGATTGCATCTAATCACTAGCCTAGCCTTTTACTTGTTAACAGTTTGGGGCTTTATTAAGACAATTCGAGCAGTCATCACAATATTTTTGTATGTGTTTTCCTGATTAGTACATTTTCATAGTTAGGAAATCATTTGGAAGGAGTTGGTCTACTTCAGTTTCAGAAACCGTGAGGGAACACCATAACAATTTCCCAGAGCTCTAGAGAATGTAAATTATTGTTGCTTTTACAGAAATGTTCATTTTGTTTCTGAAGTAGAGGAGTTATTAACGTTTCTAACAGTCAACAATCAAATAAACTCATTATTGCTGATAAATAATAAATGTTCGTCATTTTTCTTTTTTATCAACGACCGTGTCAATAACAAAACAACTGTACCTGACATTTAAACTAAATGATGCCCCTCCAGTCCCTGTAAACACGAGTAGAATACAACCCTGTGTTTAACATATAACCAGGACAAGTAATATTAAGATCTTCCCGATGACAAGGCAAAATTAAAAAGGTACATTCATGATAGTTACAATCGTCATAATGCATTTGAAAATGTGGTATCCAGCCTTATATCACACTATTATATTGTAACAAGTGTACATTTGCCCTTCACCGAGGCGTCAAGTTGACCTCAACTTTTATCCTGAAGCCTACTTGAAAATTCTTGGAACAGTTATTTGATTGGATGATAAATCAATAAGTCAATACATAGAAATGTAAACAACAGCTTTTATAATTGCTTACGTATTTCAAGCAAGAATGGTAAACATGACATAACGTTTAGCTCAAACAAAACAAGCATTTTGTGGAAATCACCAAATACTATGGCAGTTTGTGATCAACATTTAGCTATTTGAATTATATTCAATCAACCAAACTAGGGCCAACAATGATTAGCATTATCCATTACTCTGCTATATATTTTCTTAATTAATCGTTTGGTTTGTTATGTCTTAAAAAGTGTAAAATGTCACCTAAGTAATGTCTTTATATCTCTTCGTTTTATCAGTCCAAACCCAAACGTTATTAACAGGATAATTCAAATATTTGAAAACATAATTTTCTGCCTTCCTGCATGGACAATTATATAAGAGAATCAAAATAAATGTTATGATGATTAATCGATTATCATTCAATTATTCTCACTGTGTAGGATTCTCATTATCTTTCTATTCTTGACAGCATGATTCATACACACACACACACACATACACACACACACACACACACACACACACACACACACACACACACACACACACACACCAACATCTCAACAGTCGCATACCTTAGCCTACATTGTGTTTACAAGTCGACGTTGCCAATGCTTCAGAGGAACAACATTAATCCATGAACTAGTGCCAAATTGGCAAGTGCTTTTATTTTGAAGGCTTAATGGCTTCTTAAATCCCCTCCCACGGCCTTGAACGATATTATTACGTTAAAAAGGGTAAAGAAAAAAAGCCTTCCTTTTGGGATCGGTGCTCATTATCAGATAGTGGCCATTTGAAATGCATTTACAGGCTACAATTCATGCGTGGCGTTATTATGCATATGAAGCGCGTATATCC